GCCGGCCCAGCTCTCAGCTACCCGCAGGAGGAGGCCACCCTCAACGAGATGTTCCGCGAGGTGGAGGAGCTGATGGAGGACACGCAGCATAAGCTGCGCAGCGCGGTGGAGGAGGTGGGTACTCTGGGCTCCGGGAGTGTGCGGCTGGGGGAGCGGGTTACGTCCGAGCTCTGGAAGACGCTGGGAAGGGCCCACGGCAAACGCCGCGGGACCTGAGGGAGGCGCAGGGCGATTTGGTCCCTGTCTCCAATTGTCCGTTCTGCCAGCAAGCCAAAAGGTTTGGACCAAGGCCATCTCCAGAGAGCCTGGGCTGGACCCCGCCCCGCCCCAGAACCAGGGTCCACTGCCTGCCACCAGCTTGCGACTTAGGGTGCGTTGAAGCGATGCTTGCAAGGCCCCTGGGGTTCCAGAGCTGTGGTTTTGCAGAGAAACTGAGGTAGTTCCAGGCAGTTCCCAGTTCTAGCTAGCCTGTGTGTTGGGTTTTGAGTTTGTGGCATCTCTCCAAAATACACTTAGGGTGAGACGCCATGTGGGGACAGAGAGCCTGAGCTTTGCTCGCAGTCTGTCTGCGCTGTGCTGATTTCTTGAATTCACTGTGGGGCCACAATGGAAGGCGGAGATCCTAAATCCCAGCTATGTAAGTCAGAAGGTGGTGGGTGAGAATGTGAGTGGCAGCCTCACCTATACCAACAGTGCTTTGGAGTTAGGCCTGGGCTCAGGCCTCTGGGCTCTGCCCTCCTCCCTACTAGCAGTTGGCATTGAGCAAATCATCTAATGTCCGGAAAGAACTTCAGTTTCCTGTAAAATTAAATGCCACAATATAAGTGTGGGCACCCGCCGAGTAATAGTGTGCACTACATCACAGCTAATATTACCAGATACCGTTGTCTGGGCTTCTTTCCATCACTACCCGGAGCCAAACACTGCATGCCATCCTGCTCTGTCCTCCACGGTGTGCCACAGGTATGAGAAGGCTGCCTGGGTCCTCTTAATCCAGTGTGGGGAGCTGTCCCTGGTGCCTGGGGTGGGCAGGCATGGTTCCTCTTGAGCCCAGCTCTGGCTGTAGCATGGCTTTGGAGAAGAGCCAGCCAGCCCAGTGAAGGAGTCAGTGAGGGTCAGTTGTCCAGGCTGGTGAATCAAGCTTCTCCACCTTCCAGCTGTCTGCGGCTTGGTAGCCCCCTTGGGAGAAGTCTTCAGTGCAGCTTTTGCCTACTGGGAGAGGTCACTTTCTTCCCTGGACCTTGTGTAGTTTGGAAGTTGCACTGAAAGGTCACTGGGTTGGCAGACAGTGACATAGGCGGCTGTACCTAAATGTCCACTGGCCAGGCCCAGATCCCAAGACCTATGGGCTCTGTTTAAAACCAAAATAATCATGACATGGAACAATGAAAGAGTGAGAGGAGTCCAGTAGGCGCCAGCTGCTCTTAACTGCATCTTCAAGTTCAGTTGAGCTTGTGATCCTTCTAGTTTCAGGGCCAGCCACTTGCTTTCCTTATCTGGATTGTAGGACTTTCCTTCTTCACGTAGATGCCCATTACAATGGACTAGGTCACCGTGTTTTTATACAGTGGGAAAATGCCTAATGCCATTTGGACAGTTGGCTGTGTGGTCTCTGACTAATGATGGAGGGCCTTTCAGACTCTTCATTGATCAGAGCCATGTGGGGCCAGCGGGACCTTAGTGGCTGTGTCTTTTGCATGGGAATATCCATAATGGATTTCGCCAGGGCTCCATCCCTGCTCCCCGCAGACATGGCTCAGCTTGAGTCCTACGTGCTGTAGGATTAGTTTGCCACCAGAGGAGACGCTGATTGTCACATCTACCCAGGTGATGGTCATTTCCCAAAGAACATCTTTGCAGACTGTAAAGACAGAATGAAGAAAGTTGAACACCTTCATAGTAAGAAAATGGGCATGTGGGGTCCAATCTTCCTTCATCCATTCTCAACTTTGTCACTTGCTTGAGGTGGGGTCCAAGGTCTGAAAGGGGGAAATGTCCACTCCAAGAGTAAAGGAAGAATTAAAAGAGAGGATTTGAGTAAATCAAGTTATCTGGTCATCTAAAATGGAAATAAGTAGATACAATGCAAGCGTCTTTCTCATGAGGTCAGAATTATGGGAGATTGTTGGGTCCAAGAAAATAATAGCTACTGTTATCATCATATTAATAGTAGCATTGTGACTAATAGCCAAGCACTGCCAGCATCTGATAGACTCAGTAGAACCTATCTTTAAATTGTCTTTTTAGTTTGAAGAGTGGGGAGGGGAGGAGGGGGTGAAGGGAGGGTGGGGACAGGGGAAAAAATGAGAACCAAGACCTGGTATGTAAAGGTACAAGATCCCAGTAATGAATGTAACTGTACTGTCTACCTAGAATGTACCAATAAATTCAATTTAAATAAAAAAAATAAATTGTCTTTTTAGCTATCTTAAAGTATTAACCTAATGTTGGGCCGGGGATGTAGCTCAGTGGTTCCACCTCCTGCTTCATAAGTGCAAGGTCCAGAGTTCGATCCCTAGTACAAAACAACAACAACAACAACAAAAACCCAAAAGACCTATTATTAAAATACTAAAACTATATTTTAAGTATTTTCAAAAATAGAATACAGTATTAACAGATTAAGGCCATTTTAAAAAAAAGAAACGTCCAGAAAGTCCTTTAAATCTCATAAACACAAAATAGTTGTTAGTTGTTCTAGAGAAGAAATAAAAAGGACCTGGACCAGATGCATTGTTTACATAGTTGTATCATGAATCTGCTTTCAAGTAACTTCCTGGTACTTTATATATTCCAGCTGCCTCAAGCTGCTGTGTCTCTTAAGGGAAAAAGACAAAGTAGCTGTAGTCAGATTGTTATTGAGAAAAGCACATCTTTAAATGCTTCGGTCTGGGGTATTCCTGTTTTCCTGCTCTGTCATTCTGTATATTACTAATAAATGTATTTTGGAGGATAAAAGCACTCCATTTATGTCACCCTCATTGCCACATCTGTAGCTGATATATTTAGAGCATTCTTGTTGCCCCCCTGGTCACAGGAAGAACCCACTACCAAGCCTGAATTTATCTGTCCAGTGTTCCTGCTGTGCCCTCTTAACAGACACAGATTCAACCAGCTCTAAATGCCATTTTTAGCAGCATTCACATTCCTCCTCCATGAAACAACTATTGCTTTAGGCTAAAGTTTCTCCTGCTAGTGGCAGGAATAGTTGTGGCTGAAATTTCCATTGTAAATTGTACTTTTAGTTCACAGTGCCATTAAAGAACTGTTAGCTCACTCTGTGGAAAAGACCACAGGCTGAGAGGGGGAATGGTTTTACAAAAAGGCTGTCAACTCAGCCCATAGCAAACTTGAGATTTGGGAACTTGTCAATTATTTGAAAGCCAGACTGTATGATTCAGATGCCAGTGAGAATTTAAAAAAACATTAAAACTTTAGTTTCTCATTCTGAATGCATCCTCTCTGGCATCTTCATGCTCCTTTTTTCCAACTCTCTCTTTTCCATCACTGAAAAAAAAATCATTTTCTTTCACATCCTGTTTTCCATCCTGCCTGCCTTATATTTCTCCTCTCTATTAGGACAGTGTATGAAGGCAGTGCCATATTACATATTTGTCATGTGTTGGGTACTGTGCCAATACTTAAGAGTTCATGATCCTTGATTCTTTCATCCTCTGAACAATGTTACAATTTTCACTCATTTTACAAATGGACAAGTTAGGGTTTAGAGGGATTTGATATCTTACCCATGGTCACAGACATGGGACATGGGTTGCAGAGCCTGGATTTGAGCCCACTTTGTCTGACTCCAGAACTCTGACACTTCTTGCTGTGCTGGCCTCTATTGATGCTAGAGGCAACTGCTTGCATAATCCAGTGGCTATCTCTTAGGGGCTTGGTCCTTCTATTTTGGAACCTTTGTTGCCTAGAAGACCCCTCCCCAGGTATGGCTCCTTTCTAGACTTAGCTATTACCCTGACCCTCCTTATGGAGGTGTGTCTGTTTTGAAAGTTTGGGGCATTACCCTGATGTATCTGTTTGGCTGAGAAGCAGCCAGCATGATCAGCACTGGAGGTCCCTTGTGGATCTGCCTGTTGACTCCTCTGTGCTTCATCCACTGGCTGCCATTTTTCCTGTGTCCAGCAGGGACCCTTTGCTCTAACCCATGGCCCACATCATGCTGGTTCGGGCTGACCCTACACTATTTGTTTTATTTGCACCATGCCACATTCCTCTCAGTCCCAATTTAGTTATCCTCTGGGCCAGCCCAGTCCCACCACCTCCTCCTTCTGGAAGCTTTGCTTCTCCTGTGACTTGCTGGCAGAGACTGTCACACAGGACAGCTCATCCTGTCTTCAAACGGGTTGTGTAGAGTCTCTTATCTCCTGGTAAAAGCATAAGCTACTTGTGTGGAGTAAAGTCCTGTATTGAGAAAGGCACAGAATTAAGAGTCAGACAGATGTAGACTCTGATTAGAACCAAGCTTTGCCAATGAATAGCAATGTGATGATCTCTCGACTGTGCTTTCCTTCACCTGCAACAGCGGGGTAAATAGCACCTTTTCGTTGTAGGGGTTGCCGTGAATATTCTAGGAACCTGGCGCAATCGCTCAGAGTAGCCAATTTCCCAAGCAAAGGGACTTGACAATTGCTATTCTGAAGTCATCATCTAGTGCCAGACGTCTCAGGAGTGTAGCCCGGCAGTGTTCACAGTAGGACTGACCAAGCTTATCTGATGAGTTGGTCATTTGTTCCCCAAAGACTTCTTTGCATGTCTAGTTCAGTGTGTGTGTGTGTACTGCATGGAGATGTAAGGTTTCTTTGCCCCATCCAGCCCAGCTTGGGTGAATCCTTGCAGGGGAGATGGGATAAAAGGGGCTCATCTAGTACTGAAGGGGATAGAGGCCAGTAATTTTTTTTTTTCAGTAGGAAGGTACTTTTGGAGGATTAAAAATAGCCCAGAGTCTTAGATAGCGGTGTGGGAAAACAGCCAACCATCAACCAGAACTCCTCACTGTGCCTTTCATTTGAAATTCCTGGGGAGAGTATCTGATTGGCTCCACCAGTCCATGGCATGGTCTTGAGTGGATCACATTGTCAACTGTCTAGTCATCCAGGCTGAGGCAGGGTGCTAAATCTGGAAGAGGAAGTTGGGCAAAGGCACGTGTTGACGGGTGGATCTGATACAGATGTCACAGAAGCTCATGGGACTGGACGATTTGACCTGGCATCAGAAACCAGACACGAGGAGGACAATGACATATTCATGGAGAGCCAGAAGAAGTGTGGTCCCCCTGCCAGGTTACCATACATGGATATCCAAGAGTTGGGATGAAAGGAGATATGGCTGTGGCTTTACTTTTAGGGGATTGGGAGGATATTAGAAAACACTAACAGGAAGGGAGAGAGAGAGAGAGAGAGAGAGAGAGAGAGAGAGAGAGAGAGAGAGAGATGGAAAAAAAGAAAAGCAACAAATGGTATGCCCACAAGCAGGTTACTGTTGTGGCATCTGGGGATCAAACCCACTGGGGGTCATCAGGGACACTGTCACTTCTGTTTGCCATGGGAGAACAAGCTTGAGTGTTGACCCCATCCTCCATTCCTCCTTGCTACTACTCACAGTCTAAAGAAAAGCAACAAATGGTATGCCCACAAGCAGGTTACTGTTGTGGCATCTGGGGATCAAACCCACTGGGGGTCATCAGGGACACTGTCACTTCTGTTTGCCATGGGAGAACAAGCTTGAGTGTTGACCCCATCCTCCATTCCTCCTTGCTACTACTCACAGTCTGTGCAGACTGACCTCTTCTGTGGCCAGAGAATGCCCCCAGAAACAGAGGTGATTATTGGCTTGTGTGAAAACTGAATGCAAGTGACCTCCTGATTGGGTCACCAGAATGTGGCCAAGGCACCATAAGCAATTACATGGGGGCCAGGACGGTTTCAGTGCAACTTGCTCAGATTCCAACTCCACCTCTCACTGGGACTCTTTGGAACTCATCTAGCCTCCCTGCACCTCAGTTTTCCCATTCGTAAAATGGAGACATTAACACTCAGCTCTTAAGGAAGTTGTAATATTTTAGGGTTCTAGTACATGTAAAACATTTGGTATAATGTCTGATCCTAATGTTTTCTCAATCCTTGTCACCATTCTTTGTAATTACAGAAGAGAGAAAGAGAAGTGGTTCTTTTTTTCTTTCTTTTCCTATTGGACCATCATTTGACAACAGTTTTGCTCATTATTTCCATTGGTTTGATAGATGGAGGCAGAAGAAGCTGCTGCTAAAACATCATCAGTGAACTTGGCAAGCTTACCTGCCATCTATCACAATGAGACCAACACAGATACAAAGGTGGGAAATAGTACCATCCATGTGCACCAAGAAATTCATAAGGTAAGGGCCATCATGGCTGCACTTCGTCCTTGCTGCAATACCATAAAGTCCACTGAACGTACTTGATATGTAAGCCAAATGTAAATGAGGATGGTAAGACAGAGACTTAAAAAAGGGAGGGAGTAAGAGTACTGTTTAAAGGGGAGAAATGTGCATCAGAAACTTAAATTGCTTTTGCATTTAAACAATAACTTTAACTCCTAGAGTTACTACCAGAGTAGGAGGAATTTGTCTCTTAGATTTTTATGTCTGTCTTGGTAGTGAGATGAAATAGACCAGTTAGGGCAATTGGCTTCTCACTGTTTCCTTTGGAGGAACTCACATGTGATACATCCAATCTCCAGAACAGAAACCATTCATGGCCGTGAGATGAAATATTCATTCATCCAAAGTTCTGTAGCAGATTTTTTTCCAACCTGCCACCTGTTTGAGTGTCTCTTGGTCTAGTATCTTGCATGAGGAACAAGCAGGCTCCTTTCTGGCCTGGCCTGATGAAGAAAATTTTGCCAAGCTAGAGGAACATAGCAGTAGCTTGGTGTGTGGTATCTCCCGTGTGCTTTTGGCAGGACTAAGAGAAAAAAACATGTCAGTCCATGTCTTCTTGAAGAGAGTGTGCTGTGCAGACATTCTGGGTCATTATTGGAGGCTGTATGCTTGATATCCTGTTGTGATTTTCAAAGAACTTGACCTCTAAGCTCATCTGAACTCCTAAATGCAAGGCCGTGATGGCTCTCCTAAAAGAGGTATGTGTTTGTTCAAGCACCCAGGAAATAACTTGGTTGAAACACTTGTGTTTCTGTGCCCTAGAGTGTAAGAAGGTCAACTCTTATGGGCCATTGCTTTGAATATAAAGTAGCTTTTGTGTGGATCTTTCCCCTGCCTGCATGGTGAAGGGCCTGCCTAGATGGATCAGCTGAAAAAAAGCCCTAGGCATTGCTCATCCAAAAACTGGAGAATGATCTGAAAGTGATCATTATGTTCTCCTCAAAACCAATATTAACCATCATTTATTCCGACAGTAATTAGCCAGCTGGTTCAACTGCATCAATAAATTGCTCCTTGTAGATGTCAGAATACCTGTGTGTGAGTACTACTGGTAACTTGTGACTTTGAAAAATTATTTATAATTCCTGGCCCTCGCTAACAGCACTTATAAACCAGGGATATCAACATTTATGTTGTAGAATCTTAAGGGTCAAATGACCAAAGCTTTGTGAAAGCTGTTGTAAACTGTACAGTGCTTTGCAAACACAAATTGGTTTTATTCTTACTGTTGTTATATTATAGCAAAGATATGTTACCAGCGCAGTGCAGTAATTTTTGAGTAAGTTCCATGAGGCACCAGTTCTGTGCAGTGTTTCATGACAGCATCCCAGTCATGGGGAAATACACTCCTAGAGATGGAAAAAACTGCATGTTGGTGTAATAAAGACTCTGAGAAGTCCTGCGACTAATTCATATTAAATGTAGAATTTTTAAAAAATATGACACTGCTTAATCCTGAAAAACTTGCCTTGAAGGTAGACATCATCCCTTTTCTGGGGAGAGGAATCATTTGAGTGAACATTTAAAAGCATGGCGATGAAGATGTGGCTCTTACCTCCTCAGAACTGGAATTTGATCCCTTACTGCAAATTAGGCTGTTTCCACTTTGTTCTGGCTACAGACTCCTGTGATATTGCAGAGGCCTTTAAAGATGACGTAGAAATGAGAAAACTCAATCATAGAAGAGAAATTACTTATTCCAGGTGACGTACTAGATGGTTGTTGACAATTGAGCCAGGCCTCAAAGAACACAGACCTCCCGGGCCCGGCCAGACATTAGTTCTGATCTGTAATGGGGCAGGTGTGGCCTGGATTTTCTGTTGAGTTTGGCTTTGAGGTGCCTGTACTTGAGTACAGAATTAGAGACAGAGAATAGACAAACGAATATGGGCAAGTCTTGTGTTGTACGGTAAGCACTTTTTTGGTGAAATGAAACTGGCCCAAACCTCCCTGGTTCTCATGAAAGATATTCAAGTAGACTCAAAGACCTGAAACTTATCCAAAGGAAAGTTGAGAAAAAATCAGGATAAGCATCCTCTTTATGTTAGAGTTATAAAAAAAAACACAACAAAAAACCCCAAACCTATGAACCAACCCAACCCAGGATGTGAAAGACCTCTATAACAAAAATTATAGAATTCTGAAGAAAAAGACCTAAGAGGACATTAGGAAATGGGAAGTCATCTCTTCTTACTGGATAGACAGAATCATATTGTCAAAATGGCCACATTACCAAAAATGATATTCAGATTTACTGCAGTTACTGTCAAAATTATCAACAGAACTAGAACTAGATAAAAAAAAATCCTAAATTTTATATGGAACCAGAAGAGACCAGAATCGCTAGAGCTATCCTATGTAAAAACAGTAAAGCAGGAGACATCAAATCCTAACTACGAAGCCATAGTAATAAAAAACAGGCACAAAAATAGCTATGTAGACCAGTGGAATAGAATAGAACACAGAGAACCCCATGCACCTTTAGTCATCTGTTCTTTGACAAAGGAGCTAAAAATGTACACTGGAGAAAAGATAGCCTTTTCAACAAATGGTGCTAAAAACGCTGGCTATTCACATGCAGAAGAATGAGACTAGACCCATTTCTCTTACCCTGTCCTAAATCACATCAAAATGGGTCAGTGCCCTAGATAGAAACACAAAAACACTGAATCTGCTGGAAGATGAAATGGGGAAAACATATGAAGACATAGGCATAAGCAAGGATTTCCTGAATACAACTCCAGTAGCACAAAAAAATAATATCAAGAATCAGCAAATGGGATTTCATTAAATTAAAAAGCTTCTGGGCCAGGGATTAAGCTCAGTGGTTCTGACGCCTGCCTTGCAAGCACAAGGACCCGAGTTCGATCCCCAGTCCCCAAAACAAAACAAAACAAAAAAAATAATTAATTAAAAAGCTTCTGCACAGCAAAGGAAAGAGTGTAAAATGACAAGCCACAGAATGGGGAAAAAACTTTTGCCAGCTACTCTTCTGATAGAGAACTGATATCTTGAATATGTAAAGAACTTAAAAAGAATCAGACTCCCCCAACAAATGACCCAGTTAAAAAAATGGGGGCAAAGGGAGGGTGGGGACAAGGGGAAAAATGAGAACCAAGACCTGTCATGTAAAGGTACAAGATCCCAGTAATGAATGTAACTGTACTGTCTACCTAGAATGTACCAATAAATTCAATAAAAAAGAAATTTAAAAAGGGCAAATAAAACGAATAGACACTTCTCAAACCAGAGTAATATGTAACTGTACTGTCTACCTAGAATGTACCAATAAATTCAATAAAAAAGAAATTTAAAAAGGGCAAATAAAACGAATAGACACTTCTCAAAAGAAGAAATATGAATGACTAAGAAGTTCACGAAAAAATGTTCAACATCTTTAGCTATTAGGGACGTGCAAATGAAAACAACACTGAGATTCCATCTTACTCCAGTAAGAATGGCTGTCATCAAGGACTCAGAAAGCAATAAATGCTGGAGAAGTTGTAGGGGATAGAGGAACCATTATTCTACATGGCTGATGGAAATAGACATTAGTATAATCACTATAGAAATCAGTTTGGAAATTCCTCAAAACAAACCCCTTAAAAATAGAAATTTTATTTGACCCAGCTATCCCTCACCCAGAAGAGCTAAATTCATCATATTACAGTGGTACTTACATACTCATGTTTATAGCACCATAAAACACAATACCTGTACTATAGAAACGGCCTAGATGTCCATCAGTAGTTGACTGAATAAAGAAAGTGTGGCATATTTATACAAAATGAAGTATGATTCAGCCAGAAAGAAGGATGAATTTGAGTCAGTTGTAGGAAAATGGATGGATCTTAAAACCATAATGTTATGTGAAATAAGTCAGATACAGAAGTGTCCAGGGTTACCTCCTCTCCTCCCAGTAACCGAATGGTATTCTTCCTATCTCCTGGCTCAGCACCGAGGGACACTGTCCATCCCACAGCTGCTGGTGCACTCCGAAGATGCTCCTATTTCAGAAAAGGAAAGAAAAAACACCTTGTGGGATTCTCTAATACCTTCAGTTTGCTTTCACTGAACTTGTTCTATTGCAGATAACGAACAACCAGACTGGACAGACGGTCTTTGCAGAGACGGTCATTACATCTGTGGGAGATGAAGAAGGCCAAAAGAGCCATGTAAGTTGTCATCGCCTGTGCCTGCCCTGGCAACCCAGACTGCAGGCCACAGGGAGGGAGCTGACTCTGCCCCAATTCTGCCTCATTTCCACCAGGATTCCCTAGTTCCTATCTTCTTGGCCAGACTTTATGATCTGGTAGCAAGCTATGTATGCATGGCTTCAGGAACAACAGAGATCTTAAATCCAGTTGTCATTTGCATCTCAGCTTTGAAAGGGGAGCCAGCAGGTAACAAGTATTCTGATTGGGGACCCTGGTAAAAGACCCCACACATCCGATAGTAAAACCCCCAGAGACTCTGGGTTGGCCCACACTTTGTATAATCCCAGGCCTGGCCAAGGCAGCTTGAGGGCAAGATGTGTTAAGTGGTCTAAAGGGGTAAAGGCTGCCTGTCTGTTCCAGGTTTTGGGTTCTGGTCCCTCTGTGACTGCTGTTACTGAGTTGACTCTTGCTTAGTGTAAAAGTGGAATGGATTTTGTCAAATTCTAAAGGCCTCAAGTTGAAAAGGGTAAGAAGGAAAACCTGTGTTCGGGTCTTGGAATGACCCAGTTGGAGTCACTGGTCTGATGATCTCCTGGCAAGAGGAGGCTCAGTGGCATTTTGTCTTCTCAAATGGATGGTTGGCGGGGACATGGATATGCTCAGCAGTGGCCGTGTTCCTCCTTCATGGGGACTGCCAGGACCCAGCTTCTCTCATGGCCCCCTGGCTTTCCAAGGGCATCAGATTTGTGCCTACCTCTTTTGGCCTTGTTGCTGGAAGAGAAGCAGCGCGTTGGTATTCGTTAAGAAGTGGCGTTGTCTTCGTTGGAAGTTGGAAATTCTTCTGCTTGTTTTGGCGTTGTGCTTAAATGTTGGGAGCTGGCTGACAGGAACTGCAGGCTGGTATCTTGTCAGCTGTGTGAGGGGTGACCATTCAGGGGAGTCTGGTAGGTGTGGGAACAATGCAGTGAACTGGAAATGGCACTGGCCATGGAGGTTGGAAGCAGTTTATCACCTACAGGCAGGGGCCATCTTGGTTTCTTCGTTTCACACGGAGGAACAATGAAAGATGTCACTGCCTCCTAGCCTGGAAGTACAGAGGCCTATGAGACAAAGAGGGGGTTAACCCAGGTGAGAAAGAGGAAACCGGCCAGCTGGCCATAGGACGCAGTTCTGATGGAAGCAGGAGGGGTTCCAGACGGAAAGCCTGCAGAGTACCCCTGAGGGAAGCCTGTATTGAGAGCATGAGGAGGGACAGGTCTGCTCACATGATCTCATGTTCTCTGGGTGGCGGGGGACACCCCACTGTTGACACCCTGGGAAAGCAGGAGTCTGGAGGGGATGAGTAGATCCAGGACACCCAGAAGCAGACATTCGGAAGTTTTCTATGATTTCTGCTCAGGCCCTGAGAATATCGGGTCACCATGGTTCTCTGTGGCAATAGATGTCCACTTGATTGACTGGAAGGCAGTTCTGGGAAGCAGATACCAGACCAGTCAGTGTCTGGAAAATGCCCCAGGCTTTAGGCTACAGACTGGAGACTTGTCGAGCTTCCTGTGAGGGGACAGCCTCTGGTTGAGATGATGTTAGTACTTCAGGGCTTAGCCTTACTCTTTGTAGAGGGGCCAGTCAAGAGTCAGGGGGGACAAGATCTAGTTTCCAGTGTGCCCAGCCATTTCTATTCAGTCTCCCTTCCTAACACAATTGAGCTGGGGCTCAAGTGCTGTCTTCACTGAGACTTGGATCTCTTTTTCTGAGCAGGACTCTGTGAAAACCACATTGCTTTTAGAGAAATGCAAAGGATGGTGCATTGTCACCATGGTCCCATTACTGGGTTTTGCAATTTAAAGATTTTTACAGTTGGTTCTTAACTGTATACTTCATGCCACGGAAACCATGTCTTAAGGAAAAAGGCAGATTTGTCATTCCACAGGACAAAATCAAGGGCTTTTCCAATCTTCAGATAAGCATGAAAAGGAGCTAAATTTTCAGGATTTAAAATTCCCCAAGTGAATTCGGTTAAAAATAATCACCATGCACCCCATATTTTCCTTTCTTTAAATTCCGGTATGTATACTAAACATGCATGGTAACCCGATCAGGCCCACAGAAAGTTACAGACAGTAACTCTATATCCCTGTCTAGGAGTTTGCAGACTCTGCATAGCCCTGTCTGTTTCTACACTCAAGTGTGAGGGGAAAAGGATGGGCTTGTTATTTCACCTGAGTGCATCAGCGACTGTGATGTGGGCTGACATCCTCACAGGGAGCTTTTGTGCTGCATCCTCGGCCTGCCGTTTCACGGGCCAGTGGTTAGGCTGGCCAGTGTCGTGCTACTTTTGTGCCGGGGATTTGGAGGAAAGTGGCACGTTGAAGGCTCGAGTGGACAAAAGTCCACATGTCCATTGTGCGTGGACATGCTTTTATTGACTGAGGAGTCTGGCCTAATTAGCGAAGGCATCATTTCAAAAGGATGCACCCTTCAGTTAAAATACAGCTTGCAGGGGCGGGGGCTTTAGCTCAGTGGTTCTGCCTCCCACCTCACAAGTGCAAGGTCCCAAGTTCAGTCCCTGGGTACCAAAAAAAAACAAAAACAAAAACAAAAGAAGACAGCTTGCAGCTACCAGGCTCAGCACGCTTTGCATTTGTTGCCTTTCTGGTTTTAAAATGAAGGAACAGAGTGAGTACGTTTGCTTTTCTGCCTGAACACACCTACTTAGAAGCCTCAGGTTCACTCACCTACCACCATTCCAAAATACTGGTCCATTTCTAAGGCCACAGCTGCACAGATTTCACTACCAGAAACATCTGGGCAGTAGAGTTAGAGCAACACAGTGACTTCCTAGCTCCAGAGAGTGACCCTTCACTGGTCCTTTTTTTTTCTTTTTCTTTTTTTGTCTGGAGATGGTAGGCTGAGGACAATGCCTGGGGAATTTTCTGAAAGTGTGAAACCAGTGACCTCCCTGTTTGCCTGTTGTTTGTGTTGGATCCTGGAGGCAGTGGGAAGGTAAACCCTGGGCAAACCACTGGAAGGATTTTTTGTTTGTTTGTATCCTGTGGAGCGGTAAGCACCCTGTCCTCCTTGCCCCAACAAGTGTTGAATGACTTCTTCCTCTCATGCACCTGGCGTTCTTTCCTGCCCCAACCTGTTCTTGCATCTAGAGGAAAGGTAGGTCTTGTTTGAATTGCCCTATTGAAGTCACAGAATATCAGAGGAGCCATGATCTGCAAGCCCTGGGTTATTTTCTGGGGAAACTGAGTCATGGCTGAGAAGACAGGGGCCGGAAAAGGAAGCCCTTGAAGCAGAATGGAAAAGGGTGGACCAGCTGTGAGGTGGGCCTGGATTCGAGCCAGGCCTCAGCCCTTACAAGCTCTGCCCTTCGTGACCCCATTTCTTTATGGGTCATTTGGGGCCCATAATCTCCCTTTCACAAGACTGAGTGAGGATCCAGTGTGGAGAGGTTCACAAAAGCTCTTTGTCTGAAGTTCATTACTATCGAAAAGAAATTAAAGTGGGGCTCTAATTGGCTTGTCCCCTGCTTCCCAGCAAAGCATTACAGAAACAGTGGACTAAGTCTAGAAGTGGAGGAGGTGTGGGAGGCCTCCACTGGCCTCTTTCCCCTGATGATGTAGCTCTGGGCTAATTTTCTTCTGCAGCCTGGAGTTGGGCCCTCTGAGTTCTCGACAGTTTTTCTGGGACTGGGTCTTCGTGCTCTGAGCCACAGGGCTGGCCCATGCCAACAATGCCCTTCCTCTCAGAGTGCCCTGTGTGCCTGGGGTGGGTTTTGGGGATGCTGCCCAATGGGAAGGCAAAGGGTGAGAGGCTGTTGGGTAAGGGTTGCTGGAGTGTGGGTTGAGGTCTCGGGTTGGCAGTGTGGGTACCAGTTCCTAAAGAAGAACACAGAAAATGCGTTTGTGGTTCTGAGGGTGACAGTGTCCCATGCGTGTCCACTACCATGCTCCTAAAACCACATGCGGAATGCAGCTGTATTTGTGTTTCTAGATTCAGATTTTGCCTTGACTTTGTGATTTCTGGCCATGTATAAAGTCCTCATGCTTTATCCAGTAGACAAAGGTGGTAAGGAAAATTAAGTAATTGTATCGTTCTGAGAGATGAGTAAGTAATCCTCCAGGAAATAGTTAATGTTTGCAAGCAATTTTTGTGGGATAGGGATTTCTTTTTGAGGTGTAATCTGGAATATTGATATTTCCTGTACTGAGATACCCTTTGAAAAGGAGTTCATGAAATATAAATGATTCCACATCCAAAATGTGGAGTTCATATATGAGTTTCATATAGGTTGGTATGAAGGGTTTGCCTTCAATAAAATGTTATCTTAAAAAAGCAAACTCAGAGCAGTATGTGGAATCTATATCATATAATACATAACAAACATCTCTCATTTTTAGAAAAAGATACATTAAAATTATGATAAATATATATTAAATTATTAATAGTAGAAATCTCTGGAGGAAATTTAAATTTGGTAGCACTTTCCTTTATAGCATTTTATATTTTAAAAATATTTTGAAAGACCTTGTAAATTATTTATAATTTTGGCAGAACTAACTACCTGTATTTTTAGATTTTGCAAGTATTTTCAATTGCGTCAGTGTTAGAAATTAATTTGCCCGAATCAAAGGGTGAGCCTACATAAGAACTGAGAGGTCCTGCTGAGTTTTCCCCTACAACAGTGCACTCATTTTCTCTTCACACCGTTTATGTAGCTTCTGTCGCCAAGCCTGACCTACAGTGGGTGTCATAGGCCTGGGAGGCAAGGAAAAAGGACAGCTCCTTTGTCCTACTGTATGTTTGATAATGAGCAAGTCAGAGGGGATGGCTGTTTGAAAATTGTAAGTTGTAGCAAATACAGAGGACTCCTCAAGCTGAACACATCCCTTTCTTTGTCAGGAGAAAGGTCGCTTTGCATTCCAGCCAGCCTATTCCCTGTGCCAAATGCTATCTTCTCCAGTGTGGGAGGCCAGGGTCCCAGCCCGGTGTGGGCTGACCACTGAGTCACA